GGCACTTGGCTTTGTCAAACCTCATACAGTTGGCCTTGGCCTATCTATCCAGCCTGTCCAGATCCCTCTGCAGAGCCTTCCTGCCCTCAAGCAGTCTCCCTCCATCGTTTTACCAGTAGGAGGATATAAAGCACAATGACATTAGGGAGTGACAGCATTCATCCTCTTTAATTGCTGAATGTGAGAGCTGTCATTTGTCAACACACCTATTAAAACCAAATTTGACATGTGGTCAGCTGTCCCGTGATCTCAGATGAAAGTGAGAGTGCTGATACAAACTGAGGTGAGAGCAGAGTGCAGTGGTGGTGAGCTGCAGCTGGGAAAGCAAAGGAAGACTGTGGGAAGTTGGAACACCTGCTTCCTTAACTTGTTTGTACAGAGCTACATCCTTGCTCCACTTATCTGTCAAGAAAGTCTGCAAATCCAAACACCTGCACTGAGACAAAGTCCTAGAGAAGAAGACTCCTTTTTCATCTATTTGGCAAAACAGCTGCAGCACCACCCTTTTGAAGATTTGTTTTCAGTTGTTTATAGGGATTTAGAGACATTAAATAACATGCTAGAAATTGGTCTTAGCCAAGATTCAGCCCCTTCCATTTATTTATTATTTCTTTAATAACCTGAAGCTCGGCATAATCTGTTGTCCCAGAGTAGTTTGCTCCCCAAGATGAAGCACACATACATGTATGCATGCACACAGCATGTGTCCAAAGCTGAACTCCTGCCTTTTTTTTTTTCTGCTTAATGAGTGGAAGTATCTGAAGGTGTGCTGTGAAGGTTGCCCAGCTCTTGCCTTTGCAAGAGGTCCTGCAGCTCTGTGGTTCCTCGCGCATGTTCCTGGAGCCAACATGTGACAAGACCGAGCCCTACCCAAAGCAGGGCTCTTGCCACCCTCGTGCTCAGCAAGTGTCTTCTTGGCTGGGTTGGCTATTGCCAAAAATGCCATGGTAATGCAGCGCCTAGCAGCTGGGTCCTGCGTGCCTAATAAGCACTTGAGACAGTAATTTGAATTTCTCTTTTCTACCCAGCCTCTGATTTCCATGAAACTTTAATGTGCCCCACGATACGGGCATAGTAATGCATCTGCTAATGCACTCTCCCTCTGTCAAGTGTGGCAGAAGTCAGCCAGCAACTTCTCAAGTCTGTGTGCGGGAAGAAAAGCAGCAGAACAGACGAGGCGGACGAGCCTCATCTCCACCTGGTGCAGACTAGGAACCCCTGGTGTGGGGCTGGGCAGGGAGGGGTTCTGAGGAGTAACTTAATTCCCTTAAAAATCAGCTTTGTAGAAAGGGTAACTTCTCCTTTGGCTGTAAGCTTCTGATTTCTGTACACTGGTTTCTTCTCTCAGGCTGCTCAATGCAGATGATGTTCTGTTGGTCTGAAGTTACAGAACTTGCAACAAACTAAAATATCTACTGGTCTTTTCATGGCATTAGAGCTGCTTGAAATGCAAGCTCATCTGTGCTACTAAGTGAAATGTAGTAATCAGGTATTTACATATCAAGAAAAGTTTTCACTTTAATGTAAAGAAAATTCTACATTGTATTCCAGCCTCTCGTGGGAGTCAGAACTCATGTAACATTGTCCTGTTTCAATATTCAGATTAACTTTATATTTTCAACAACTGCAGCCAAACAGCTAGATCTTAACAGTCAGAAGGGCTCAGTTTGACTGTCATATGTGACAGTATTGCATTACAGGTGCTTACAGGGGCAGGCTACTATCCTAAAATTCAGGAGATCAAATATGTTAGGCAGAATATTCTCCTGTGTTGGCCATTCTCCATGTACATGAGCCATTTAAAGATGAAAATTGGATTCCTCAAGTTTAACAGCAGTTGCTTGTGTGAGAGAGGCCACACGCTGCTGCAGCAGCCCACACTACGGAGGGGACGTTTCTATTACAGTGGGTTGTTTTTCCTTAACTGGGAAGAATTGTCTGGGTTTGTTTTACAACTTCTGAGTAACAGTGGTGTTGCTGTGAGGTGGCATCCGCACCTCTCTTACCTACTGCCAATTAATGGCTTTGCTGTATGAAGCTTGGTTAAGAATGTGTGCTTCCAAGTACGTACAGATTTGATATCTGTGTGATCCGGAGTGCTGGGACTGACCCACTTACTTCTTCCTACAGGACAGAGCTGCCATTTCGACCTGGGAAATTCTGGAAGGAGGGCAAGCAGAGCAGCAGACTGAGGAAAAAAGCTGATCCTTCTGCCTTGGACTCTTTTTTTTTTTTTTTTAAATAAATTTTTCTCAATTTTTTAAAATTTTTTTTTTTTTTAATTTCAGCTGCTTTGGCAACAGTTGTAAATACTAAGACTTCCCAAATAAAATCTGTGGAACAGGATGGCTAATGAGGATATAATACAATCTGAGCAGAACTGTTGACATTACTACTAGGTAAATAAATACAGGTGTGTACATGGTGCAGGTGGTAGGAGCAGCTGCATTGTCTGACCAGTGCCTCAGTAGGTTCTTGTGCAGGAACTGCCCCAGCCTCAATCACGACGTGATCTGCACTTTGTTTGCTGAGCTGGCACTGAGAATTACAACAGCGTGACAAGAGAGGCAAGAAGTGAGGCCTGGCTTGAGGGTGAACACACTTTGTTTTATGCCCACTGGCTTAAGCAATTTGTTTTTCTCAGGCGCAGGAGGCAATGCTTTTGGCCTTGAAGTATTCTCTTACTGCAGTGGTGCTGGTTTGGTCCTCTGAAATATTTAACCACAACATGATGGTACCGAGTTACCCCTAAGGCTTGGTGTTTTCACAATTCACAGAATACGTTCAAGATTGCCCTAGTGCTGGGAGCGCAGCATGCTTCAGCTCTCTCCAGCACAAATGGGAAGAGAGAATTAGTATGTTTAGTTATTAATCCCCTGCAATGTAAGTAACCTGCATAAATTTCAGGATCAGTAATGTGTCAGTATTGAAAATAAAATGGCTGTTGTACAGGGTAGGATGAAATTCTTTTACCATGTTTGTGTTAAACCCCTTGCTATGGATGGCGTGGCTGTAGGTAGATGGAGCAAGGCTGCCTGTATTCTAGCGGCAGAGTTTACACAGGGCTTGTGGGGTATTTTAAATATGCTGGCAGCTGTATATATACCAGCAGTAAACTAGAATGAATGGCAGGTCAGCTTGGCTTCTGTGGGAAATGTGATCTGAACACATGAAACAAAGTACACGCAATTAATTTGCTATTATTTTTATTTCCTACCAGAAGAAACTGCTACATTTCCAGAATGTTTAAAAATTGTAACAATTTGTATACATTTGTGAATAACAGTTACAACGTCTGTGTAGATTTAAAACCAACGCGGCAGGTTGAAATCTGTACTGAGCTCTGTTAATTGATTGACTTCGCCTACAAATGCCATTTAGATTATAATACCACTGATGTTCTAAATACAAAAAAAATGCTCATTTTAAAGGAAATCCAGTAGCTGTTTTAAAATCAGTTTAAAGTTTCTGATTTTATTTAAAAGGAGTTGGGCTTCTCAAATAGTTTTAAGGGGGAAAAAAAAGTAGCTTAGTTTCCCCAGAGATGTTGACAGTTTACAAAACTGTTTAAATTAAACACCAAAAACCCATCTCTTATGAGTAGACGTTGCTCTAATCTAAAAAAAGTCCGTGAACCCTCAGAGACCAAAATGCGCAAACATTTAAAAACCTATTTTAAAAATAGGTAACCACTTCAAAAAAAAAAAACCAAAACCAAACCAAAAATGCATTGGGGTGAGGTAGTATTCACAGTGCATCCAGAAATATCAGTGATAAGGGCTGAAGGGAAATACTTGGAGCAGCCTTTCTGATTCCAGGTGCTTTCTGCAGCAGCTACTGCAAGGTAGGAGAATGCAGTCTGACTAGTAGTCTAGAGCTAGGTCACTGGCAAAGAGTGGCTGCAATGAATATATAACATCTATTGCAGTAACTGTACACATTATGCGCTTGTTCCTGCGCTTTAGTGAGTATATATACACTCGGAGCTAGCTTGTAGGTTTAAGGGCAGTGCCCACTTCCAGACCTTACAGGAAGTTTTGTAAATGTACTTTGCACGAACTTGCCCTTCTCTCCAGATTGGTTCAATCCCTACAAGCTTTGACTGAATTTCCAAAAATTTAGGAAATGATACTGTGCAAAATTCTACACACCTTCCCCTTTATACCCAATCCTGCTCTGCCAATGAGCCCCCAGTAATAGGTAGGGCCCATAACAGTAGAAGTCCTGTCTGTCTTGATAAGGATCGAGCAAAAAGCCCCTAAACCGTGTCATCTGCCTTTTGCTCCTTCAATCCATATT